CCCCGCGGCGCAGCACCGGGCGGGGCTGCCCGTGCCCCTGGAGTGCGAGGGTTCCCCGCCGGGCGCCCCCGTGTGCTGGCTCAAGGACGGCGAGGCTGTGGTCCCAGACGAGGCCCTTGCTGTCCAGTCAGAGGGGTGCACACGGAGGCTGATCATCCACTCGGTGAGGCTGTCGGAAGCGGGGACGTACACTTGCGAGGCCGGGGACGCTGCTGCAAGCTTTGCTGTGACCGTGAGCGGTGAGCTGTGCTGGGGCTGGGTGCGCGTCCTTGTGCCAGGTGTAGGCGGTGCTGAGAGACAACGCTGGGGTCACCATCCCTTTGGTGCCACACCAGAGCCCTGTGTGTCCCCTCCAGAGCCGCCAGTGCGGATCGTCAGCTCCAACGAGGAGGCCCCTCATGCACACACGGCCGGGGAACGCGTGGTGCTGTGGTGCGAGCTGTCACGCGCAGGCGCCCCGGTGCACTGGTACAAGGACGGGCTGGAGGTGGAGGAGGGCGAGAGCCTCGTGCTGGAGCGCGAGGGGCCGCGATGCCGGCTGGTGCTGCCCTGCGCCCGGCCCCAGGACACGGGGGAGTTCATCTGCAATGCTGGAGACACTTCTGCCTCCTACAACATCATGGTGGCAGGGCAGGGATGTGGCTTTGGCAAGCTCCACTCTGGGTAGTCTCCAGGGCTGCCTCCCTGCCCTTAGCATCACTCTGGGGGAATCGGTGGTTGTGTTGTGAGCCCTCGCCCAGCAGGTCTCATTCTCACCCCTGGCAGAGCCACGTGTGAGGATCCTGCACCCACTGCAGCGCTCGCTGGTGCTGCCAGTGCTGACCCTGGCTCGTGTGGAGCTGCGCTGCGAACTCTCCGTGCCGGACGCTCCCGTGCGCTGGTTCAAGGACGGGCTGGAGGTGGACCAGAGCAACAACCTGCTGCTGCTGGCAGAGGGGGCCCAGCGCTGCCTTGTCATCCCAAAGGCCAGCGTGGAGGATGCGGGCGAGTACATCTGCGAGAGCAGGGATGAGGCCGTCTCCTTCGACGTCCAGGTGTCAGGTAAGCGGGTACCTGTGCCTCACACGGGGGGCCAGGTGCAGGGCTTTCCCAGCAGAGGCTGGAGCAACTCACTCTGGCTGCTCCCTGCCTGACTGTGGAGCTGCTGCTCACTCATTGCCACGTCCCTTCTGCAGCAGGAAAAGGCAGCGCTCAGCGCTGTACCACTTGCCTCCGCATCCAAACAGCCCACGGAGTGCAAGGAAGGGCCCTACACTCGGGCAGCATGTGCTGGCTCCCAGCCTGTGCACTGTGCATGCCCCACACAGGGCTCTCCACAGCCTCTCTGCCCACCCGTGGTAATACATGCCGTGGGAACCCCAGCAGTAGCTCATGCCCTGCTGCTTGAGGGCTCTCCCTGTGCCCACCTCCTGCGCATGCGGGCTCTATGCCACCCAGGATGGTACTTACTTTGGGCTAAGGTGTCTCCTGTGCTGCGCCGTCCCTGCGTCGCTTTGCACAGAGGCCACATTCTCCTTGCAGAGCTGCCCGTGAAGATCCTGCAGCCGCGGAGACCTCCCCCCGTTGTGAAGGTCTCCCCAGGGGAGACGGTGACCCTGGCCTGCGAGCTGTCCCGTGCGGATGCGCCCGTGCACTGGACCAAGGAGGGCGTCAGGCTGGAGGCGGGCGGCAGCCTGGTGCTGGAGGAGGAGGGTGCCCAGCGGCGCCTGCTCATCCCCGCCGCCCGAGCGGAGCACTCTGGAAAATACGTCTGCGACGCCACCGATGACACAGTGACCTTCACCGTCCACGTGTCGGGTGAGCAAGGGGTGGGGGGAGAGCCTGCGTGCCCTGGAGAAGGGGTTGCCGGGCTGGGAGCTGCAGGGTCCCCGTAGCTCTCTTGCTATGAGTAGTGCTGCGAGGACTGGTCTCCATGGGATGGCTCTTGCCCGGAGCCAAACCTTGCACCAGGCACTCCCAAGCACGTGGTTAACAGCAGCTCTCATGCTGCCAGACCCACCAGTCAGGATCCTGGAGAGGGATGCTCTACCGACCCGCCGGCACTGCCGAGCCCTGGAGGACCTGGTGCTGGCAGTGCAGCTCTCACATGCCCATGGGGAGGTGAAGTGGTACAAGGATGGGGAGAAGCTGCAGGACACGGGGCGCGTGCGGCTGGAGGAGGACGGGGCACGCCGCTCGCTCGTCATCCTGGGCACCACGCGCAGAGATGCGGGCGAGTACCTCTGCGACACTCGAGATGACAGCGTCATCTTCTGTGTCACTGTGGAAGGTGAGCAGTGCTCTCCTCGCTGCCTGCGTGGAGCCGAAGAGGCCCCGGGGATCCCTGGCTGGTGCAGGGGTTGCTCAAGGCTGTGCTGCGTTTCAGGAGATGCAGAGTGGTGCATGCAGGGGTGGGACAGGGAGCTCTGTGGCTCTCTCTGAAAAGCCATGCACTGCCCAGCTGCAGCTGGGAATGATCCAGAAAGGATCCAACCGTTGCAGCAGGACCACCCATGGGTGCACAGGGCACCTGGTGGGAGAAAGGCAGTGGATGGGCAGCAACAGGAACAATGTGGTGTTTTCCATTCCATCGGCCCTGCAATATTGTCCTGCAGCTAGAGCTGGCGCTGGCAGCTCAAGGGTGAAGCCAAGAGCTGTCTTGCTGTGCAGGGCAGGGTTTGTCCTTGCTTTATCTCCAAAATGGAGCTGGCTTGTGGGGTACCCCAAGCCCAAGGGCTTCTCTCCCTGTGTCTCTGGGCTGGGTAGCATCTCCCAGGTGCTGCCAGGCTGTGCCCAGCATGGTGGCATGGAGCTGCAGCTCCTGCAATGACAGCCCTGCTCTCCGGCCTCCAGAACCGCCAGTGACCATCGTGGGGAACACAGGTGCCATGGAGCATCGCTGCCTGGTGGCTGGCGAGGACCTGGTGCTGGCCTGCAAGCTGTCCCGGCCCGATGCCACCGTGCGCTGGCTCCGGGATGGCCAGGAGGTGCAGCCCAGCGAGCGGGTCCGTGTTGAGGCCCGGGGGGCACTCCGGGAGCTCACCGTCCTTGGGGTGCAGCTGAGTGACTCGGGGTCCTACATCTGCGACGCTGCCAGTGACCGCATGGTGACGAGCGTGGAGGTGTCAGGTGAGAGGGAGCTGCAGGGAGCCGGTGGCACTGGGGCCATGCTCACTGCTGCCCTCCCTTTGCTCAGGCTGGGTCTTTCTGTGGGGCCCCTTAGCATGGGGTGCCAGAGCCCCAGATGCCTTGGCAGCTCCTTGTCCCGCAGTGGAGCAGCTGCTGCGTGCGGGGAGGGGACGCGGTGGCGGCACAGCCCCGTCTCGCAGGAGCCGTCGGCCGAGGCGAGACACATACCTCCTGCCTCCCCCAGGCAGGGCTGGCTAAATTTATCCCTGGCCGTCTCCCAGGCGCCTCTCCTCCTGCATCAGCCGCCAAGGGCTGAGCTTGGCCTAGCCCTTTATCAGACCGGGAGAAAGGGCTGTGCGGGATGGGAGCGTCCCCAGCAAGCCCCAAACCCGGGTCCTGCAGCTGGACTCAGAGGGCAATGCAGGAGGGATGGGCTCAGCCAGCTTCCGTAACAGGCACCTTCCCCATGGGCACCCAACCAGCCTGCGC